CCTTCCTGTGCAGCGCAGATAGCTCCTGCGCCGTGGAGAGATCCACGGACACCATCGCAGCGCCTATCTCGATTAGTTGAATGTGGGCCACGAGTCTGTAATGCACCACGCATTAGGGAGCTTGTCTGGATCAACATTGCGGCGGCTACCTATCAGGTATAGCTCGTCAAACGCGAGCAACAGCGAGGAATTAAAGAGTGTGCGGCACAATTCCATAACATAACATAACATAACATAACATAGTGATGTCGGCGCTGTAGTGTAGGCCTGATGTGGCCTGTCGCCGATTCTTTTCCTTTTCGTGCCTTGAGTAGGGGCCAAGAGGGTGGGGAGGGTATAGGAAGGCGAGGCCTGAGCGTCGTCAAGGCGCCGATTGTTCTCCAGTTACAGGCAGTCGCCGAGGGTTTCAAAAACTTGCCCTCGTTTCATGCACTAGAATTTGTCGGGAATAAAACACTTGTACTAGCCGTTTTTCTCACTATTCGCACAATTTTGATTGAACTGCACTAACATTGAACCTTTCACTGAAATCGTTTCGGTACAAAATTCGCGAGATAAGTCAAACCGGCATAGTAAAAAGTGAGAAAGTTGGGACCCGCAAACACTACGTGCGTCCTCGATCACTGCCAGAACTCAACTCGATCAACTAGGTGACAACTTTATCTGGACACACCATTGAGGTACGCTAGCAACTTGTGCGGAACTAGAACGAACCGTGAATGGGACATATAAATTTTTGACCTGATTTGAGATGGTAAGTTGAAACGATTAAAAAATAATTTCAATGAAATCCATAAGCATCATGCATATATGAAAAACTAGAATGTAAATTTCAGGTGACAGCAATGGAGTGTGATGAAATGATGAAAACATAAATTGTGACCAACAGATTTTTTTTCGATTTAAATACATCGGTTTAAATACATACATTAAAATCCTTTCATCACCCAGTTAATTTCAAGTTGTTCCTCGAAAATATAGTTTTGTAGACCTACGTTTAATATTTCTGCGTATGTGCGTGGTATAGAAATGCCTATCGATCACCCGCCCCATTTGATGGCCGAACAACGACAAATGTGCTAGCTATGAAGCTGACCACTCCGGCATTTGAGTTCACTTAAATTTGCGAGGACCAGAGATAGACTCACAGTTTAAGCTAAGCCATTGAGAAATTCAAGTCTATGATATCATAAGTTCCACGTTGATCTTATGGCACAGCTTTTACATACATTATAAGAAATGATGAATAAGTTCAAATTTCGATATTTACCTGTCTCACCAATAACGCAGACTGTAATCGAACTGCGGTATGTTTCAAATCCAAAGACTTCAAAATCGCCTCTTTATTCGCGGCAATACAAACACCAACGATGAAAACTATAAAGCATGTGAAAGTCGTACGTGTGTTTAATCACTATTGCATGATATCTTCAATTTGTTATATTTTCACTATTATAACAATGATAGTTCGGCCAGAAACAATGTTAATTATTATATGTGTTTAATTAAAACTTGCTGGTAAATTCAGCGTCAATGTTTATGTCCTGCAATGATGTCACCCGTCTGATGGCTTCGCTCGAGTGAAAGTTTTATCAATTTTAGACGAAAACGGCGTACGAACATTTTTGAACTGGTTCGTTTAGTCACTTTTAGCCATTTAGACACGCTAGCCGTTTGTGTTCAAAGCACAGACTTTTTTCAGTGTATGTTTCCTTCCAACAGATTCCATCGCACGGCTGCTCACTCCCAAACTGCACATTTTTGTTATGTGACCAGACTTTCCACAGACATAGCAGGATCTTTCAAATTACGATTTGGCAGCACTAGGTAATTGAGACAATGAAATGTTAGTGAATCTTCCCGTCGATTTTCCATGTATTGCATTCGTACTCGTAATTATCCGCAAGCGTGACAACTTCATCCAAAGATAGAATAAAAATGTTCCTTTCTTTCAAATACTCCGCCAGGGAATTTTCCACGCAATGCAATATCTGATCTTTTATGATCATTTCCTTCAAGTTCTCGAATGATGTCCCGGCTGATCCCATATATGATATATTCTCATTCAGGAATAGGACAAATAGTATGAAAGACTCATCAGATGTATTGCTTGGTTAAATGGCAAAATTCGAATTTATTTATATGCGTACAACCAGAATGACCTTGAGAAACATGCGTAGCTAACAGAGGTGTATCGCGTGCTGATAATTATCGATGTCGTGACCGTTGCCTATGCTGAAATGCACGAGGCGCTGCCAGGAAGGCAGTTGCCCTGGTTGCATGGTGTTTACTCGACCCTTTGTCTGCTGATAGCGACTCTCTTTACCAGGTAGTTAGATACGAATGTCAATTCATAAAACTTGCTTAAAAAACTTAGGAATGGTGGAAACTTGAATTCATTGTATATATGCTTGTTGAAAAGAACCAAAGAGGGGCCTATTTAATACAATTAAATGTTGAAATGTAGTTAGAGTATGAGAGCACTAGTTTTTAAAGAAACATCAGGAAGCTAAACCATTATTGTATTACTCCAGCTAATGAGATCCAAATTTTTAACAAGGGAAACTGGGTCTATAATGACTAAACAAATAGAAATCTGAAAAAGATATTACATAATGCAGTGTTGTGATTAAACGAATGCCGTAAATTACGGCCCGTGATGAAAATTGAGGTGGCGATATTGAGACAACCAAATGGGAAATTCATTCAGAATAACAGCTGTCTAAGTTTGACCGTAAATGAGTGCTTATAATCAGTGCGATGATGAACGAAAATTTTAGAAGTACAAGAACTAGAAATATTTATGTAGACGTCAAAGAATGTGGATTGAGCATCAATTATATATATATATAGTCGGCATATACGGCTCACAAGTGAAAAACTTCAACCATAGTAACAGGCAATGAACTACTCCTACCTGATTTCTATGCTACCTAGGAACAATATGGTGCAATTAAAGCAATATTTCGAAATATTTTTGGGTGAATGACATTATTACTTGTTAAATAAAGGAGGCAGGTTTTAGCATTAAATTAGAAAATTTCTACGTCAAATATTGTCTTGAAGCACATCTCGACCATTTACAATAGGAGGTGAGAAGTTGAACGAATGAAGATGAAACTTTAGAACGATTTTACCTATGAAATCGCTTCCTGTTTATCAATAAAATTTAATACATAAAGATACCTTCACGGGTAATATCGACAAATTCTTTATGTCAAATGTTTGAAAATGAGTATGGGGAGTTTTTTTTAGAAGACACAATTATGTCAAATCCTACAATAAAATGAAGTAACAATACGGTGAAAAAGTAGTAAGTATTTTGCAAATTGAAAACAACTAAATCGTAAATTTGTAAAGCTTAATGAGTGAATGAAACTGTTAAAAACTGAGAATGTGGTAAATTTCTTCAATATTTACAAACGAAATATTGAAATGCTTGTACTTGTAGAAACTCAATTGAATAGTTCAGTTATTTTTTGGTGCAGAAGAATTTTCTCTTATTGAAAAATTACGGTTGACAAAACTCCATAGTTTCATTAAAAAACATTCTAGCTACAAACACGGCGTAACCATTACAGGGCTCTAACTGGACACTTAGAGCGTTGTGCCACCGCGACGGAATATTAAGCTACTTATTATCAGAATCATGCTATGTTCGATTCTTTTAGATTTAATGAAGATTTTAAATTCTGATTCATAAAAGCCTGATTGTAATTCACGCTCATCATCGTACGAAAGTTTAAATGTTTAACGCCTGTTTCTTGGTGCTCCAGCTTGCTAATGTTGACATGACGTGACAATTGGGATGACACTTTCGTTTATCATCAGTCCTCGGACCCTTTGAAAAATTTGTATGGCACGAAGAAGTATTGTGCCAAATCCATAGGTCGTTCACCAATCAGATATTGAGTAAAACGCCTAAATAAGTGAAAATTCGCCTCGCATATACTCAAGTTTATGTAATATGTAGAAGAGCCATCTGTTTTACCTTCTCAAGTTTTGCGGGTAGGATTATTGTTATTACTATTCTACGAAGCATTTATCGTGGCGTCTGGTTCAAATGAACGTCGAGGGCACGTTACGAATAAGTTTAACAGTAAGCAAAAAAATAGACACGATATACCTGCAACGAAGGAGCCGATGTTAGTGAAGCCGGCAGACTGTTCCAGGTTCTGGCGGTGGCGACCGGGAACCCTCTGTCGCCTACGGTAGATAGACGTGTAGATGGAACGAAGAGTTCCGCTCTTGATGACGAACACAGTCGTCTTCTAGGAGGCAGGTCCGACACGCGCTGAATACATCCCGTGAGATAAGAAGGTGCCAGACCGTGAAGGCCCCGGAAAGTCAGAACAGCGACCTTGAACTGCGTGCGCTGCTGCATGTGGAGCCAGTAAAGATACTAACGCAATATCGTCGTCACGTGGTCGAATTTTCGCTGATTGCACACGAGTCGCGCTGCAGCGTTCATTTCGGATTACAGTTTATTAAGTTCCGTGGTCGGAAGTCCATAGAGTGTGGCATTACCATGCATAGTCCAATCAGGTAAGAACGAGCGCCACCTCGAGGGCATCGAGGACTGGCATCGAGACACAGCGGCTGACGCTATGTATTCGTTCCAGAGCGCCAAAACAAGCGGTTGTTATAAAGTTATAAATTGTAAGCGTAGTAGTGCCCATTCTAAACTGCCCTTAAAATTTAGAACCTCACAGCAGTTTTCTCAGTATCATTTATTAATGATTGGGAGCAGGCTTGCCCGCCTTGTCCTGTTCCAATCTCATCGAAAAAATAATATCTTGAAACGGGTTTTATGCTTAGCAACTATATGCCAAGCGAAAAAAATAAAGAACAGGACGTCCTTGATATTAGTGATAATTAGTGGAAGGGGGTAGCTGGCATTAGTTGAATGCCCGGTTATACGTATTGAACTGGTCGCACGAGGCTTGCGTGCAATATATAAGCATGCATGGACTGGAAGTGTATGGCACATTAGACTCGGAGCGAAAAGAGTGAGCACCTAGCAAGTCGACCTCTTCAAGCTTTAAGCGGTCATTGATTCGGAAGTGGCAACTATTATTTGGGGTATTGCGTGTGAGTTCATAATTAGCCAGAAAAGAACACTGAAAATGGGGATTACAAGTCTGTAATTTGTTTGTGGAGAATCAGTTTTCATTCAAAAGTGACAATGTCAATCGTAAACAGCTTCGTGATGAATTTCATGTCCAAAAAACTTGTATGCTTTGTGTTAGTTCAAATCGTCATGACGACGAGTGCTACTGCGAACGCTTCCGAGGTCACACTCCCTGGCTACGTCGTTACTCGCAATCAAAGCGCTGGCAACAGGACCATTGATTTTCAATCCAACGAAACAGGTAAAGTCGTTCGAACTTGAATAATTTTGTAAGAAAGATGAAAATGATATTTCTATGTATGACCCTAAGCAGATTCTGTTATGACTGAGATGTTGTATTGGAAACTCGTTTTCAGGGCCATTAAGTCAATGAGTTAGCAATTTAAACTGCGAAAATAAAATTGCATATTCGTTGATAAACGAATGTTGATATTGCTTATATTATGGATATTCATTGATGTTGCGAATTCGTTGATGTTGATACACAATAATCGATAATCACGATTATTGTGACCACAGCGGAGACCGTGAATATTCTGACTTACAAATGATTGGTTAGCTTGGGACAAGACTCATGCGTTCACTGGCTTACATTTATACTTGTCTGTGGGGTTGAGGAGTGCTTTTGTCTAAGTCATGAAGCCTCAAACCGTTAACATTTTCCCTTTACATTACGTGATATAATTAGTTCATAATATGGTTACTGCTTAATTCGAATTTTTTGCGGCACGTTGTATAGTATTGCTTGGCATATGGAAGTATCTTTAGTTTTATACTTACATCATACGGCAATGCTGCACTAGTTTTATTTCTCCCGAGCCGCCTTGTCTTCTATTGTAAAGTCAAATTCCAGATCAACAAATTTAGTTTAGCTAATATATATTCTCGCTAATAAATTAAGTAAAAGTGAATTTTATGAAATGATGTGAGTTTGAAGTCAGTCCAATTCGATTTTTTTTCATTATTATCCATGTTGTAATGTCACTATTTGCTTATGGCAATTACGTCCCCATAACCATTATCACCACATCAAGACAGTGCAAGAAAAATCTGTATTATGTTAACTTTTTATCATCACATCTTAAAATTATTTTTCGTAGCGTTCCGATTTTACAATGCAGAAAAGTTTTTATATGTGTTATAAGGAAATTATGAATGTTATTGACATTTTTAGAGAAAACTTTGAGAAGTTTGGTCGGGTCGAACGAAATATCACTGGTACAAGTAATTTTTATAATAAAAAACTTCACTAATTAATAAAAAAATTAATAATGACAGCGTTTGTAAATTCCCGCTCGTGCTAGAATTCAGGCAATATTCACTTATAATAGAATCAAGTTGGAGGTTTTGTTCATCAATCAAATCAAATATACCCTGAAATGGGAGAAGTGAATGCAGTGCCTACGCAACACCACATAGTGTAACCAAATCAGTGTTTGAATGTAGTGTTCGATGAGTGTGAAGGGCAGAGTGAGTCCTTCATGTTCAAGGTTCACGGGGTACGGTGATTCTCACGTAAGCACAACCGCGTGCGTCGGAAATACACAACGTTCTGACTTAATGGGATTCTCAATTAATTGAATCACCAAGTGCTGAGGCCTGCATTATCACTGCGCAGCAAGAAATCGAAGAATGACTGCAATCACTGAGCATTTCCACAAATTACTTCTAAGAAAAAAATATATAGCCATCGATCGAAGTCATCAACAGAAATAGAACAATTGGCCTATCGCATACGATAACCAGGCAGCTTGTTCTGATCTTATCTGCTGCTACGTGACAAACACCCCAAGTAGATTCACCAGCCAAAATAAAACCAAGCATCAAACACAAACTCCCTGTTATAGACGCTTACGAATGGTTCTAAGAACTTACGAACCTTCAGATCCATGCAGTTTCGAAACATTCCGCTGTGTGACGACGCTGGATCAGATGTAATTTTTCCGTCTATTGATTGATCGTCAATTGATTGATTCCGTCACAGTGTCAGGCATAAACCATCATTTCCTATTTAAGTATACCCTAGCAATACTCAAAATTCTGGATTTGAACGCGTTTACACAGATGGGAGTAAACTATGATTGGTAATTCATTGGTTAATAACCTGTTCTCAGAAGAAGGCAACACAATATTGCTGGTTTTACCTTAAAACAAGTTTTAATTCCTTTAGTGTTCGCGAATCATCAAGCTGGTATCACATTAGGTAAAGAAAAAATTATCAGGCTTCGAGCCGCGCAAGGTCGATGCTAGTTTAGTTACTCGAACAGATAGAGCGGTGTTGGGGGTCTGTAAAGGAATCAGGATTCACTCCAGAGATCTAAATGAAGCTTGGAAGATCCCAAATTACGGTCCCTGAGTTAGTCCAGCCAATTGGGTACACAGCCGCTCGAGAATAACCAAGCCAAGGGAGGTGACAGAAACGCAACAGATTCTTAAACATATACTTAAGGTTGGTAAACTAAGGGGAAGCCCCAGATGCAGGACGGGCTCCGAGATGCAGGTACGGCTCACGAGGCAGGTCAGACTCCGTGAAGCAGGTCAGACTCCGTGAAGCAGGTCAGACTCCGTGAAGCAGGTCAGATAGGCAGGTAAACTAACAGGAATCGCAAGTCTGACTTACCGAAGGCGGAAGACTATCAGAGCGCCGACCGCCCCCCACGAGTTCTGAAGAGACAATGAACAACAGCGGAGACCTGCGGCTAGTAATTAGCTATGATGACGTGGCGCTGTTGCCATACCTGATGAATTTCCTCTACAGGGTCATGCATGTTATTCTCGTTAGAGTTGTGCCGTCCATTATGCGCCTTACTTGTCCAGTGGCACGCTGGGTAGGTGGCCAGATATAGCCAGGCACTATTCATTTCTTCATTTGCTATTTCATTTCTATTCATTATTCATTCATTTGCTTTTTCAGTTGTTAGTGAATTTTATTTTTATAATATATTTTTTGTAACATATAAATCGTTCAACCCGACTAAAATTCCTAAAGTTTTCATGAAAAAATGTCAATAACATTTATCATTTTTAGCGCATTTTCTTATTTATGGAAAAAATGCACTATTGTGCTCACCTTGTCCGTATGTCTGTCCGTCCGTCTGTCCGTCTGTCCGTGACCTCAAATTTTCGTCGACGAGAAAATGCGCTCTCTGTCACTCACTGCAGTGAGTACTGAGTTATATTTTTTAAACATTTTCTTATAATAGATATAGTACCTTTTCTGCATTGTAAAATCGAAACGCTCCGAAAAATTATATTAAGGAGCGATGATGATAAGTTGATATGATACAGATTTTTCTTGCACTATCTTGATGTGGTGAGGATGGTTATGGGGACATAACAATTATAGTCATGAAGTGAATTGTGGCGTTACCAGCTTGAATAATAACGAAAAATAATTTGAATTGGACTTATTTTAAACTCACATCATTTCAAAAAATTCATTCATGCCCAACAACAGGATCAGCTGCAACACAATTTGCAACACCACTGCCACTAGTTGAAGCTGCCACAGGCCCGGTGGCAGCCACCACTACGGAACCACCAGCTTCAGCGCTACAAGTTGGATCAGCCAAAATAGGTGGAACACAGACAGCAGGAGCAGTAGACACGGAATCGGGAGTAACAGAAGTTGCAGACTCACTAACAACAGCAGAAACTGTTGTTCGATCCACTGCATTTGCACGGCCACTATCACCAGCGACAACTGTAACAGACCTTGCAGCAACAACGCTAGCTCCCGAAGCCGTGACACCTGCATCAGTACCACGGCCAAAAGCCGCCTCAAATAAAATATTCCCTAGTGGCGGTACAGTGACATTCGGGCTACCAACACCCGCACCACAAGTGACAGCAGATACTCCAGTAGCAGCAGCACTGATAGAGAAGTTCACAACATCTGCCGGTGTTACCAGGTCTTCATCCAATAAACTGATTGCCCGTCGATCACAAGCACGAGCAACTGCAGCAGAGAAAGTATTAGAAGTGGCACCATTACTGCTAAAAGTCTCAGTTAGCACTGCAGTATCGAAGATAAGGTCAATTTTTTCTCGACTCTTAAAACCAGGTAAATTAATTCAAATTATTGGACTCGCTTGTCGAGCATAAAATAATCCTTGCAAAATATACCATGTAACTCAAACGAGTTCCTTGATGTAATATGATCATCAAACAAATCACCAGTAAAACGCATCAAATCTGTTGTATTGTGGAAAAAATCAATGTCTTTACAAAGATATGTGATCATTCTCTTATTCTAATAATTCTAATGCCTTTCAGTCAATAACTGGACGTTAGCTTTATAAAATACTCTTACAATAATATTCATTAAAATAATCATCTTGCAATAGGGAAAAATAGTGAAATCGCAGTAAGGTTAGAAGAGCAAAAATATACTCACCAGAGTTTAAAGACGACCATCGACACCTGAAGTAATTGAGTCACTACCAAATATGATGGGGAACGCTATTTCCATAGAGCGATTATTACATATATATATAATTAATGCTTCTTTCATGTACTTCGTCCGATTTTGATGTCCCATCCAGAAATAATGTTAATAAATGTCTACGAAATTTAAAGTAAAGTAAATTTTTGTCCTCGATGATAGTTTGTTATGACTTTTACGGAGAAAACGAGGAGCTTTCTGTAACGCCTCTTAATCCTCCTACAGAACCTGCTACCTTGACTCCTACAGAACCTGCTACCTTAACTCCTACGGAACCTGCTACCTTAACTCCTACAGAACCTGCTACCGTAACTCCTACAGAACCTGATACCTTGACTCCTACGGAACCTGCTACCTTGACTCCTACGGAACCTGCTACCTTAACTCCTACGGAACTTGCTACCTTAACTCCAATAGAACCTGCTACCTTAACTCCTACGGAACTTGCTACCTTGACTCCTACAGAAGCTGCTACCTTGACTCCTACAGAAGCTGCTACCTTAACTCCTACGGAACCTGCTGAGCTCGACACTGCCTTTTACCTCACCACCAAGGCTGATCAAGATCATCCATTGGTACGTTGCGCCACGCCACCTTCATTATAATTTATTTACAATTCGAAATATTATTTCCCAATGATACCGTATTTGTGGCCGTATATTAAATTAAAACTTTAGCAACTAAACCAGGACCAGTTTACCTATTTCAATTTGCTATACTTTCTTTTATTTCCCTATTTCAATTTGCTATATCTGCTTTAGTACAAAATCGTTTGTTATTTCTAATCTCCTATTCACTCTTCAGAAACCGGAACCATCTGATATTGAGGTGCTGAAGAGAGCGCCTCTTAATCCTCCTACAGAACCTGCTACCTTGACTCCTACAGAACCTGCTACCTCAACTTCTACGGAACCTGCTACCTTAACTCCTACGGAACCTGCTACCTTAACTCCTACGGAACCTCCTACCTTAACTCATACAGAAGCTGCTACTTTGACTCCTACAGAAGCTGCTACCTTAACTCCTACGGAACCTGCTACCTTAACTCCTACGGAACCAGCTGAGCTCGAAACTGCCTTTTACCTCACCACCAAGGCTGATCAAGATCATCCCTTGGTACGTTGCGCCACGCCACCTTCATTATAATTTATTTACAATTCGTAATATTCTTGTCCAATGATACTGTATTTGTGGTCATATATTAAATTAAAACTTTAGCAACTATACCAGGACCAGTTTACCTATTTCAATTTGCTATATTCTTGGAAAATACCTGCTTTAGTACAAAGTCATTCGTTATTTTCAATCACCTGTTCACTCGTCAGAAACTGAACCTGTCTGATATTGAGGTGCTGAAGAGAGCGCCTCTTAATCCTGGCGGCCGCCTCATAATCCTCGTACACGGCTTCAAGCCGTCAGGAAGCTCTTCCAATTGGACGGAGGTATATTCAGCAAAGTCACTCAAAGTATTCAAGGGGGAATTAGAAAAGAGTAATAATGGATTTGGCCCTGAAATAGATTTTATCCCAATATTTTATTTTAAAACTCAGATGCTCCTCATAAGCTCCATTTTAGGTAGTTCTTCTACGGTCAAGTTATCAGCAATCTAAACATCAAATTGAATGTCATTAAGCTAAACTTGATGACCTAGCCGGATTACATATAAAACAACCAATGTTTTAATCTGGAGTTTATGAATATCACAAACTCAAGTCAGCTCGTTATTTCCAAATCTTCAAGGTTAATTCGAGATGCTGATTCTACGATGTTCAATTTACCGTCCGTGGCATATGATGAGGTTAAATTAATTTCGTGCTCTGAGTAATCTCTTTAGCACTACAAACTCCAAGTCCGCGTTACTAGGAACTAGAAGCTTTTCGTCCTTTTTGTCTCTATTCTTGCAACTCTATTGTAATATAGGCTCCATCATCATTTAATAAGCGTATTCTCCGCTTCCTCCCTTTTCCCTCCTCTCTTGCCCCTTCTGCTGGGGCACCTCTACTCTGACCCGAAGCGCTCGTCCCACTGGGTAGGGAACCGAACCTTTCCCACAAAATCGCGTACCATCTGTATCATCCCATTACCCGCCCTCACTTTTATCTTCATCGGCACCTAATAATCCGCTTGCAGCCTTTGGCTTACAGAATTTAACTCAAAAGAATTGAACTATGGCTATGTACAAACATCAAAATTCCAGTCCGGTGACATCACACGATATCAATGTGTCTGAGAAAGGTATAGCAGGACGTTGGTGCAGTACATGGAGAAAGCTGACATTTTCAATAGACGGGAAAACACGGTGGTAAGACAATGCATAATTCTCCAAACGTAGGCAAAACTGGAGGAATGAGCCGGCGTATAGATGTGGTGTTCATGGAGTTTGCGAAAACCTCTTACAAAGTTGACCATGGTGTGCCCCACGTAAAACTAAAATTCCTGTGGGTCGGAAGAGGGTTATTGGCGAGGATTCACAGCTTTCTCGCAAGCAGTCGTTGGCACCTCAAGATCAAAGTGTGCAAAGTGGTGTGTTACAGAGAACGGTGCATGGTCCGATCTTCTTCACTATTAAACATGAACATTGAAGTGAGCCATGCCTCAACATCGTCATTTGCGGACACCAGGTTTACTGAGGACAATAACGGACAAAATCGCTTGTGAGAGATTGCAAAAAGACTTGTCTGCAATATATGACGGGGCCCAAATGAACAAATGCAATTTAACCGGACTTTAATTAACAGGTTTAATGTTCTTAGATGCAGTGCTGAAAGAGGAATCAGCATGGAAGACCGCTAGCTGGCAACGGAAGGCTCATATATTAAGGAGAAGAAACTCGCTAGCATCTTGAGATTTAAGTAATAAAGTTATGTTTAGCGACCACATTGAGGCAGTAAGTGCAAGAGACCATCGACAGATTGGTATCGGACATTCAAAAGAAGAGAAGCCGAAGCGAAGTTCAAAAGCTGAATTATTTGTGTGTCTGTGGGGGCGCGATGTGAACATTATGTGTCTGTATATGGGGCTCTATGAATTCACTTGGGAGCCAAGGGGGCGCCAGCCTGCAAAAGTTTGGGAACCACTGGATTAAACGAGTGGGTGATGAGCGAGTACAGTTAAACAAAAAACCAAGATGTTTCGTACATTCTATTCGCATGCGTTTTTGCTTCTTTTCCCGTTATATTTTATTGTTTTTTTCAAAAGATGATATGACGATAAAGGTGATAATGCTGGTGCCGATTATGGTGATGAGGACGGTGAGCCGCTCGAGACTCATAGGGTGAGTTTTGTTAAGTATTGCCGGGTCTTCGGAAGGCCTCCAGTCTCGTCTTTTCTGTGTGTCATCCTCGGTGAGTATCGACAGTCCGTCAGCGTGGTAGCGTGGTGGATGATGTGTGTTGTTATAGGACCAGCCACGTCCACAGTAAAAGAAAATTGACTGTCGTTTCGGGACACTCTTGTGTCTCGAGGCCAATCCGAGCGATCGTGCCGAAAGCGAGACACTTATAAGGCCGCCAAGGCGTCTCGGAGACGTCCAAGCGTCTCGAAATTTGGTATCTGGGTGTCTCGAACGTGAAGACACAGGATAAATCTACGAAGAACGAGACCATCTTTTCAAAATTTCTGCAATATACTTGTCCAGTTTCCAGCGCCTGATCCATGGCCGCCTCCCATGCTCCCAACCTACATTAGAGAAACTATATTTCTCCGTCTCCATCTGATTTCAACGCTTCACTCCTTCTCAGCAGAATTAATCACCTACTTATTATCTTATACATATTTTCAATAAAACAATTAATATCGGCGTGTACAGGCATCTTGAAACTTCCCTCATTCACCGCCGTCGAACTTGATTGAAGAAACTGGGAGTCCCCCGCCGAGATTCGATAACCCTGCCTAGACTGCAGTCAGACACGCGAGCAGCTGCCTTAGTCACTTGGTTCAACTATTAGTTCAACCATGCACTTGGCCACGTAGGCGGCAGTGAAACTTTGTTGCTATATTTGTTATGTTTTGCGCATGGCACAACTAAAATAAATCATTTAATTTCAGCGTCATCTTCTTGTGTAATAATCTGGAAAATGTTGTAGGCGTCGCTCGTTTACATTACCTATCCACGGAGGAACAGCAGTGTATTTTAGCACGAAACCATCATCTGTACATAATAACATATTATCGTTCACACACTTTTTTTAAAACGCGGAAATTTGGAAGTTATCTTGTTCTCTGGTTGAATAGAAATATATTTATAACTCACTTCAACTCGAATCTCCTCGTGTAAAACTGCTTTGTTTGAAATTGTCTACCTGGTGTGGATGAAAGACAAACCCCTTGGCGGACACCTGTGTGGAGTTGTAATCTTGGTAATCTTGGTACTTGTTTGGGAGATAGCAGTCCCAGGCCACGACGGATCGCCGCCTCTGATTATCGTTCATCCGCCCTCATTTGGGCCTCCTGATGCACGATGCTGTTGCTTGCTTCTCGCCGCTGGTAGTGTTGCAGGGGAGGGCGATCTGGGATTGTGGCCAGGATAACGTCCAGTTGTCTCTTGAAGGTCTCCAGGGTGAACTCCCCCTCTCTTAGATCCTTTGGTAGGACGTTGAACAGCCTTGGCCCTGCCACGGAAAATGATCCTTCTCGCAGGGATTGAAATCTGACTGCGGATCTGTTACGTAATGGGGGATCTTGCTCAGTCTCCCCCTTCTCTCGTTGTGATATGTCTCAATCCTGAAGGTCTCGCTCTTGAAGTTTGGCACCATTCCGGTTATCATTTTCCATGTGTACAGAATGACATACCTCTCCCGTCTCCTCTGCAGTGAGTACAGACCCAGGCGCCTCAACCTCTCCCAGTAGTTCAACTCTTCCATCCCTCTGATCCTGGTAGTGAAGGTTCGCTGGACACCTTCCAGCTGCCGCACTGCGCCGAGTGTGAACGGGGTCCAGAGCTGGCAGCAGTATTCGAGAATTGGTATTACAAGGGCTCTAAAGAGTGTGATCATCGGTTCCGCTTCTCTTGTTCTGAACGTCCGCCAGATCCACCTCATCTGTCGCCTACCTCTTGCGGTTATTGCAGTTACGTGATCACCAAAATTGACCTGAGTATTCATCAACACTCCCAGATCACGAACAAGTTGTTTCTCTTCGATTTCCGAGTTGTCAGGTGCTAGGTAGCGGTGCTCCATACCAGCTCTTCCGCTACCTCTGTATCTCAGAACCTCAAACTTGGTCCCGTTGAACTGCATGTTGTTCACGTGGGCCCAGTCATATATTGCAGAGAGGTCTTCTTGCAACCTCTCGCAGTCCGTTGTCCGTTATGGTCATTATAATCCTGGTGTCGTCCGCGGATGACGATGCAGTGGCGTGGTTCACAGCCACATCTATGTCGGCGATGTGGATGAGGAAAAGGATTGGGCCGAGTACCGTTCCCTGTGGTACTCCACTCTTCACCCCTAGCCTCGCTCGATCTCTTGCCTCCTACAACGACAGCTTGCAGTCTTTCTGTTAGGAAGCTGTGGATCCATGCCAGCAATTCACCTCCGACTCCCAGGAGTCTTAATTTTCTGAAGAGCCCTCCATGGTCAACTTTGTCAAACGCTTTCGCGAAGTTCAAGTACACCACGTCCACCCCGGCCCCCTCCTCCAGCATGGCCAGGATTTGGTGGTGATGCTCCAGTAACTCAGACAAACAGGAACGATTTCGTCTAAAACCGTGTTGCCTTCTGTTGAAAAGGTCAGCGTCTTCCATGTACTGCACCAACCTTCTGGCAACAACCTTCTCAAATACTTTAATTACGTGTGATGTTAATGTAACCGGCCTGTAATTTTGGGGTTTGTCTCTTGCACCTCCTTTGTAGATGGGGGTAATTAGCCCTAATTTTAGGTCACTTGGAACATTTCCTTCCCTCAATGATGTTTGCCAGAGCAAAGTCAGAGGGACCATTAGTGCACCGACACATTTTTTCAGTAATACTGCAGGGACCCCATCTGGCCCGGGAGCCGAATACGTAGATAATTCTTGGATACTCCTCTCTAGATCCGGTGTTTCAAACTCAATGTTCATCAGCTCCCGCTCCCCTGGAAGTTCTTGAATGACTCCAATTTCGTTCTCCTGTCTTGATTATCGGGGTTCGCTGAATACTTTTTCAAATTGAGCTCCCAGAAGTTCGCACATGCCCTGGTCGTCTCCAACAAGGACATCGTTATTTTTCAGAGGCCCCACTGAGGCTCTGATTTTGGCCTTTGACCGGGCATATTTGTAGAAATATTTGGGATTCTCTCGAATGGCAGACTCCGCTTGCGCCTCTGCAATTTGTTGCTCGGCCTCGTGTGAGTCCTGCAAATGTCGCTCAGTTTCCTTAATTTTAACCTTTAGATGTTCCAGCCTCCGCCTCTCTATGTTCCTGGAGGCGGCCGTTATCTGGTTGTTCAAGCTTGCTCGTTTTCTCATGAGGATCCGTCTGTCCCTCGGAATTATGTGGCGTTTGGGTTTTTCCCGTCGTGTGACGCACGTATATCTGCAGTAATATTTCGCACAGTTTGTTGTACATTGTTTCGGCATTTAGTTCCAGGAACTCAGATCTCCAGTCAATTTCAAGGAGCTCATTCCCAATATCCTCCCAGTCTGTTCTTCGATAATGAAAATTTAGCCCTGCTAGCCCCTCTTGTAGTGGGGACCTATGGATTTTTATGGATGCAGTTCTACCTGTAATGTTGTAATGTAAAGTGTTCGGTGAGGGACTGGTGGAGGTTGAGTTGGATGATCTTGTATTGGAGTCCGGTGTGCCAAACCTTGGCAAAGGCTTTGGTCACATCGCGGAACACTATGTCAGTGGTGTGTCTTTGTGCTAAGTGTATGCCAGTGTTTCGTGGAATGTGGCTAGTGCTGTGTGTGTCCCTCATGTTTTCTAAAACCATGTTGTCTAGTGTTGTGAATGTTTTGAATGGAAAGGTGTTGGTATAATCTATTGTTGAATATTTTATCTAAAAGCTAACCGTGGATGTCTAGTAGCGAAATGGGTCTGTAATTTTGGACTTGGTGTTATAAGGTGTTGAGTTTGGGGAGGAAGATCGTGATGGCGTGTTTTAGTGAATCTGGGAAATAGCCGGCGGCGATGGCATTATTGAATATGTATTGTAGATAGTGGATCATGCTTTCGGGTAGGTGTTTGAGTTGGAGGGTTGTGATGCCGGTAGGGGTAGTACACAGCAATGGTAGTACACAGCAATGGTAGTACACAGCAATGGTAGTACACAGCAATGGTAGTACACAGCAATGGTAGTACACAGTAATGGTAGTACACAGCAATACTAGTACACAGCAATGGTAGAGCACAGCAACGATGGTGCACAGCACGATGGGCATGAGCACTGGACTGATGGTGCACAGCACGATGGGCATGGGCACTGGACTGATGGTGCACAGCACGATGGACACTGGGCTGAAGGTGCGCAGCAATGACTATGGAATTCGGGTTGAAACCCGACTGGTGCTGGTGCTGTAGTTGGGAAGTACGGTAGAGGCCGGACTAACTAGGAGCCGCATTTGCTGGCCGGGCAAAGAGTCGGTCCTGCCGAACAATGGTGGTCAGCACGACTATAACTAAGAATATCACTCCATGGAACAATTTCAGTTAACACAACACATAAATACATTCAAGAATTCAAACACTATATTCAAGACCCGAACATTAAAGTAGCGAGCAAATGCACTAACAGTCTAACACCCACCTAATAGGAACGCTACAAGTACACTCGAAAATAGTGACAGTAGGTACGCTCCGACCAAGTGACAGCAATCGAATGAGAAGAACTAACACGGGCTTCAGGCCGGTAACGCTACGTCATCAAATAGCATGGTTACCAACCCTACAAGCAGCCGTAAAACTTACGACACAAAAATAAATTGAAGTAACTGAAATCATAAAGGGTGAATTTCCCTTACAGCCTTATTTTTGTGTAGGACTCTATCAGGTAATGCGTTCTTACGGGTGATGAGGGTAGGAAAGTAGGGGCCGATGTGAGTACAGTTTCATGGAGGTATTAGTGAGTGTACATGTCTTTCTACGTGGTTGGAGGAGATGTTTTCTAATGTCATTGTTTCTATTTCCATGCGCTTATGTCTATGAGGAGGTATACGGGATGGGGCCGCATTCAAAAGTGTGTGCAAGTCAATGTAGTTGATGTAGTCTATGCGGGGTAGAATATATTTAGTTCCTAATGTGATGGGTCCTTGTTGGGTATCTATTCTGATAGCGAGCATGTCTGTAAGGAAGTTGTCGTGTATTTTGTATGGGATATGGCGTTTGATTGCTATGGCAGCACCGGAGTGAATTGTGTTATCTATGTTGCAGCTATGGACGTTGTAATTGAATATTTTGAGTGAGGTGTTGTTGCCTGTGATAGAGTGATCGTTAATAAGAATGAAGTCAGTCAGGATGTATATTATTGTAAATATATGATAACGTAAATTTCTTATTGTGCCGGTGTAGGACATGGTGCTGCAATATCTTCGGTGTTGATTGAGGGGTCATGATGGGGAAGGATGTTTAAATGTGGATTGTTTTGGCTTTTTGACGGTGGTTGTTTTTGTGGTTGTGTGTCTGTCCATGGAAATGATGGTGGCGTGAAGAATGATGTTGATTTTGGTCCTGCTGCATTTAAATTTGTCTCGTCTCAGAAAGTCGATAATTTTTTAGATAGTCTAGGTCTTCTGCCGAGAGCTTCAGTTCGAATTCGTTTTTTCTCAGCTCGCCAAAGTCCTTGCTGCTGTGAGGGACGGCAGGGATTTTGTTGGTGTCTCTGTTGCTTCTAAAATGTCTAACAGCAATTGATTCGTCTTGTCCTGTCATTGAAGTGGTTGATTCTCCGTAGTGTTCGTCACTAATTCTTCGTTTTCTGGGGTCGCGTTCTCCGTAGAGAATTTTGGCTGTCGGGGGAAAGGGACGGTCTGAGAAATCTGGTCAGCTGTCTGTCTTTCTGTCGAGTTTAGCGAAGACCGTCTAACGTCGTCAATAAATTCCGTTTGGAGATTGGAGTCGGCGTCCGGAGTCTTGGTTTTAGGTTGGTAAAAAAAGTATATTGGGTGTCAGGTTGATTTTGTGGAATGCTTCGGTTGCTTTTTTTGAAGTAAGTTTGCCGATGACAGTAGCGTCGTCGGTCACGGCGTAAAAACCAGTGGCAGTGTCAGTCAGTCGGATAAGTGGAGCGACGAGTTTTTTGAAGGTTGTCTGGAATCGGGAGGTATTCATCGGTTTATTTTTTCAGTTGGATGAGGTAGGTCTGGATCACACGCCCCCACACCGCGCTACCAGACTAACGGAAACGGACGAATAGAGAGCAACACGCTAATCAGAAGCATTTCACAGCTAACAAAAATGAGTCCAATCATCAAAGTCTTGATCGACTATTTTGTATCGCCTCATTATCTCTCAATCTTCATCTCGTATATTCTCATCCGTTCCTGCACTAAATCCGCTCCCACACACACAATAATATAAATAATATAATACTGTAAATATTATTCTAAAAAGCCATCCACATTTACCTAATGATAAATGGAAATGCTCTGATGAGTCTCCTATCTCATTGACACCCTACCCTCCCAAAATACCATGCATATACCCGAACAAGCAAATAATGCGCGCAGTGTCAAGCGGCTTTTCGCTTTCCCAGTTTGTTTCCGTTTCCCTATCTCTCTACGAGTCACCCAGGGCCGCCTCATGCTCTTTTCTCTCATTCACTAGTAGTGGAACATTACCGTCATCACCTCGAAAATTTCAATAACACATCAAGTTGTGTCAACATCAAGACGCCCGCACTACCCACAATGTATCGAAACTTCAGTTCGTACAACACGTGTAGGTTCAGTGACACTGATGATGCAGACAAACAAACGGAACTCACGTAAAGTTGATAAGTACAGTAACACTGATGACGGAAACAAAAAAACGAAACTCCCCTAAAGTTGATAGGTTCAGTGACACTGATGATGCAGAAAAACCGACAAACGTGCCTAAAGTGACATACGATACAGACGAGTGGCAAATCCTTGACAAAAATAAGTCTAATAGTGCCTAATAATTTAAATAATGTAGATATAAATGAGCATTAAGCTTTCACTCATCCGAACAAACACATCAAAGCAAGGACGAACACCCCTTCTCTCCCCCATCTAACACCAACTCAACCCGCATCCCACCCTTGACAAAACTTAATATACGAGAAGCGCCTACTTTAATCTCTAATTGTGTTATTATATTTACTTGTAATTTCACTCTCTCTTTCCTCCAGCTTTCTCTATACCCTATGCCACCTCTTGAATCTCCATTTTGTCGGTAGTGGCGCAGCAAACACATTTTATAGCTCCGCAAACGCACATTGGAAATACTCTTAGTAATCTGCAGGTATATTAAACCTCTATATGGCGATCAACTTGTTTGACTCAATGACTCTCAATCTTTTCATAATTTGGGATCAAACTTGAGCCAGTGCATGGCATTATTGTTTGGTGCACAACGTTAATAATTTGTTTTTAATAATTCATAATCTATGAATTGTGTCCATTTCTTGATGTAATACGACTGCCATGTCAAATGATAACTTAGCAGATCAGAGCTCGAAGAATTTTTCGGTCGTGTCTTCAGAAAATGAGAAGAGAGCTGATGGAAGCTGATAGCTCTAGCAACGTGGTGGTAGTGGACTGGTCCAAGGGCGCCGAGGGCGCTGTGGACGACGAGGGCGCCGAACACAACAGGTTGTGGAATATCTACAGTGGAATATCGCAGCGGCGGAGAACCAATCTTGCTAATCTTGTTAGACATATGGTTATCGAGTTGATTAAATCCTACAAGCAGGCTGTAAAGAATACGGAAATAGTGGCTCGGGAACTCGCCTCCCTCATTAACAGCTTGCAGGTGATGCTGAGCGAAACATTTTTCTTTTCCTCATGAAGTGATGCATTCCTAAAATACCTAAGTTTGTTGTTCAATACTCAAAATCCTTCAGGGCTCAAAATACTGGTGGAATCTAAATAATAATTGTAATAAGTTTTCATGACAAATAACTATTATTTTATTATTTACTACTAGTAAAGGCTTTTCTGACACGTATTTTTGCCCATTAGGAACTGCATGGTATCCCGAGTAGCAGGATCGAACTGATAGGCCACAGTCTGGGGGCACACTTGAGTGGCATGACCGGTGCTTATCTGCAGGAGCACTATGGAACCAAGGTTCAGAAGTACGTAAATATTTTTTGAATGATGACATTATTGAATAAATTTCTGTTGTTATATGACAGCTTTTTAAAAGCACATGTAAAGAGATGGTTGTCGATTACAATTCCTATGGTAATTGGGCATAAAAAATTATGGTCAATTAAATGACCGAATTCTTACAGCTTTTTTAATTCAGTTTACATAACTCGACATTTTGAATAGTTAGCAAAGTCTTTCATACTCTTTGCTCGTGGTTCAAAGACTCAATATTTGAATCAGGATAGAGAGGGCTATAGTCGCTAGATAATATTGTTCCTTCTATAATTTCCCTTTTAATTTTTGTTTCGATATTATATCCTAAGAGAATGTTATGCCTAACAAAATTTTTAAAATATAGTAATTGTAATATGAATCGAAATTGAATGAAATGTAGGCAGACAAGATAATAGCCGCAATATTTCATTCAAATTTCTTACTAATGTAGACCAACGTAAACGTGTCGAGCTTCACTCAAGTGCTGAAGACCTAGCGTTGAACGAACGAGTGCTGCACTGCGTCTATATCTATACGTGCTCTGCAGCAGAGTCGGGTGATGCTGCCACATAATCAGTTAAATGGTTGAAGGCATTCTAAATTAAAACTACATAGTGACTGCCTGCCGCGAGCATTAATTGCTTCAAAGTAAGTATCAAATATGTTTTGCACCTCAAGATCAGAAATACAGAATTGGTGGGAATTTCATATTCATGAACAATCAACTTGATTAAATTTCCTCATGATAACAGGCGATGTTAACTGCTGGTGATTTCAAAATGTTGATTTTTTAATGAACCTATCTCATCTAGTGAAATTAAACCTTCAATTGAAAGTTTTTGGGGATTTTTGAGTTTAATTAAGAATGAAGCCAAAAAAAGGGAGAGGAAGCCAAAAAGGTTTCAGTAAAGGAAACCAAGCGTAGACCATGCCGCTGCTAGCAGTTTTTGCCAGGAATTTAAAAGTAAAGAAAATGGCCAAAAAGTTCACCATTTCTTATAAGAGAAAACGTTTCGGAGTCCAGCTCCATCGTCAGTTCAAAACCTAGAACACAGATACAAACAATTAGTAGCCTAAAATTCACAATCAAACAATTCACCTAAACTTGAGGACATTAGAACTAAAATCAAAAATAGAACAAATAAAAATGAGAATTATGAGATAACATGTGGAGAAAGTTCTATCTATTTACAATTTGTAGAGGATAGGAACTGAATGCGGCATTTAAACTGGGCTTCTGTTTGAAAATATATAATGATTCTAAAATTCTTAGGTCAGAAACACCTGTTGTGGAGGCTAGTGATTTTAGAGTTTTAGCCTCCACAACAGGTGTTTCTGACCTAAGAATTTTAGAATCATTATATATTTTCAAACAGAAGCCCAGTTTAAATGCCGCATTCAGTTCCTATCCTCTACAAATTGTAAATAGATAGAACCTTCTCCACATGTTATCTCATTTTTGTTTGTTTTATTTTCGATTTTAGTTCTAATGTCCTCAAGTTTAGGTGAATTGTTTGATTGTGAATTTTAGGCTACTAATTGTTTGTATCTGTGTTCTAGGTTTTGAACTGACGATGGAGCTGGACTCCGAAACGTTTTCTCTTATAAGAAATTGTGAACTTTTTGGCTATTTTCTTTACTTTTAAATTCCTGGTGAATTTGCGACTTAAGCAGCCAAGTGATTTTAATAGCAGTTTTTGTTCTCAAGAAAACACGTAATAACCTTGAGCTATGATCTCAAAAGCATTTAGACACTTTGTCAATAATTATCCTAGTACGATCCGTAATCTTTCAAACTTGAGACCATTCACATTCAAAGTTTATTTTGCTGTTTATGTTTGAATCAATTGGACTTTTGTAACACTTGAATATGGCTATTTGATTTCAAAGTTAAGGCGGCATTGATGACAAGATATTGATTGACAACCAACATAATGGCCTTCGCGATGTTTATTTTGATATCGAGTTAGTACGCCGTGTGTGTAAAGATTGATTTATGCAATAATTGGCTTAACTTTGAGTAATTTTGATCCAATTTATAACCAAATTCTTCAGTTTATTCTAGTTCTTCATTATAAACAAGTTCAATATTTGTTATTAAAATATCTTTAATTAAATCACGTCTCTGTTCAGGAAAACAGGTAGATCAATTAATTCAATGCATATCAAGTCATGACCTTTGGGTAATTAGGAAATATTTAATAATACTTGTAAATAACTGACATATGTTTTAACCACATGTCGGTTTCTTTCGCATTAAAACAGCAAATTGTACAGAATTACAGGGCTAGACCCAGCCAAATCGGGGTACGGAGGCAACGACACTTACATAGGACTGAAGCGAGGCAACGCCGATGAATTGTACAGAATTACAAGGCTAGTCCTAGCCAAATGGGGGTACGGAGGCAACGTCACTTACATAGGACTGAAGCGAGGCGACGCCGATGAATTGTACAGAATTACAAGGCTAGTCCTAGCCAAATGGAGGTACGGAGGCAACAAAACTTACATAGGACTGAAGCGAGGCGACGCCGATGAAGTGATTGTCTATCACACCGACACAGTCTGTAAGATGTAATATTGTAACAATGTTTCTTATTATTTGTATATTTGTATCTATGCTCACCGAACATATAGTACTGGCATTCACCAAGGCATTCTGTAGGAGGATCTTGAATCATTATGGGTTTGATATGAAAATTAAAGAAACCTCGTCCATGAAACATTTTATGTGGACGGAACTTTACAACACAGAATCCACGTAGCTCGTCTAATGCTGAAATAAAATTGTGTTCTTGATGATATTAAAATTAATGCGGATACTTTGAAGCAATGCCAGAGTGTGATATACTGTATATGTGGATGTACGATCGATTTTGAACTTTCAATCTATTGCACTGAAATCGTGTTAATCGATAATGATTGTTACCAGTATAAAAGTAGCTTATGTTTTAGCGAATTTTGATTCTTTATATTTATTTTTTACTGAATTACCAGACATTTTCTAAGGAATTTCGAACGAACGTAGGGAGAATATTTTTAATTCGTTTAACTCTATTTCTCCGCTAGAAGAATTTTATACCTTAACACATTCGAGCCCCTTTTTGCAGTCTAACTCTTGGTGCCTTTCATCACTCGTCTACGATGATGCAGTGGCCGGAAAATTTAGTATTATTTCTACCATTGACAATTTTTCGCAGCTGGTAACTTCGTAAGCCCGTCTTTTTGCTTCCTCTGTTTGTTTTGTAGGCGTTATCTTATTAATCTTATAATAAATTTTTGACACTTTATAATAACCTTCAACCATGAAAGAAAGTATATACTACAATTATCTAAAATGGATAATTTACGAGCTGTACTATAGGTTTTAGAAACGATATTTCTGGTTGACTCATTGACTATTGCCTGGCAAATTTTTGCCTCAAGACTTAATTAGCCGAATAGCATTTTTAATTTTAGATGTTGTTCTTCTAAGTAGAAACTTATCTATGTGCTACTTAAATATTCACTTTGTTTTTGCAGTATGCATGCGCCTTTTGCGGTCGAGATTCAATGTTCTATGAATTGATGGAATAGATTTGTAAATTGTACTTTAAATTGAAATCCATAGTTGTTGGTTGCAGAATTAACGGCAGAAAAAATTATTATCGATAAAATGTGATTTAGTTAAATTGATAACCCATCAGCTGCTAAATTATTTTATCGTTACTCTCTTAATTATATCTATTCAGCTACTTTACATATGGGGAGAAAACAATAGCTTTTTGGTTTTTCATTAAAAGTTTTTTTTTAATTTTGCCTGACAGTGATAACCAAATGGGTAGCATAACACACGCTATTTACTTTTTTGGGTATAAATTAATGATCTTCTCTTGAGAAACACGGCAGAAAATGGGTTTTCAGCGTGGATTAAACTCTCGAATGGCGCTATATTATGAAAAAGTGGATTTTAATAAAGTTACAACATCGATTTGAAGAATTATTTTAGTAGATCAGCCTTTCAACATATAAAAACTACTGATCGCCGTTGTTTCAATATGACATGCCTATTGAGTACTCATTTAAATTTCAAACTTGTTCATAGCATACCACACTGTAGATGCATAAAGGAGTACGATATTGATTAGAAACACCGTAAGAAAGCTATTATCTCTGATTTAGCAAATAAATGACTTTTGACCATATCCGGCACAAATACATTAATAACCTTAGCTTGTAAGCTCGGCTAAACTATAAATATTACTTCTGCCCATAGTGTTTGGCATAAAGGACCCCATCGGCGACATAGACCTCTACATCAACGGCGGAAAAAGTCAGCCGGAATGTTCTGGTAAAAGTAAGTGAGATGTATGAGAGTTCATGTAGTGGTATTACCTGTATGCTAAATATTGTCAGCCTAATAGTGAAAACATCATCTCCTATTTTGTCATTTAAGACATTCATACAGTATTCAATAAACTAACTAAATACTAAACTAAATATCGTGCCTTGATAACCTCTTACTGCTTATTTAGACTATTTAAATCCGAGTGTTTAAATACCGCCATTACCAACGTCTCGTTGCTTATTAATGGCATAAGCTGGTATAAACATAGTCTAAACTCTAGAGGGTAATTCGATAAATTGATGAAATTTAGAGATTTATTTGTTATTCGAGTCGAGATTCGAGAAGGATATAGTTTTAAAGAAAGTGTGTAGGACGGGAATGGAAAATGGTTCGTGAAATCTAGATTATTTACATCGATCGACGGCAAACACAGTGCAAGCTGCAAGGTAATTTTCAAAGCTGTTGCTGAAAGACGTTGCACATACGTATGGAGAAGGCTTTATACGTATAGCTGCTTGTGTACGCGACCGAAACTGGGGACATACATTTTTACACGCCATTGGGACGAAGGAATGTATGTCCTGGTGTATATGACGGCAGCGGCGGCCATGGCTAGTGAGACAACATTAACTAAGAGTTGTCCGTGACCCTAATGTCGAAAGATAATTGCTGTTTCGTGCACGTTACTAAAATGATGATATCATTGAGGCCATAATCGTTGTACGTCTTGTTACGTTTCATGTTATCTGATCGCCCAGCTGATTGTTATTGTAGGAGGTACAGAGTGCGCATAGTGTGCACACTTTGTATGTGTGCATCAGGGTAGAAAGAGTACAATATTATTTTCTTGGCACAGGATTCGTATTCATATACAAGCGTTTTACTCAAATTTGTACATTTTTGTTTCTGTTATTCATTCAAGTTTTTTGTTTACAAACTAATATGTTCGGCTTTGGTGCTCTCAATCCTCTCAAAACGAGCCTTAATTTAGTTGAATTTCATACTTATATCTTTTATTCATGAAACCCTTAAATTGCGTTCAAAGACTAACTTTACTTAACAATCTTAATTCGTTTCCCTAGGGTCAAAAAATTCTCTTATTCTTCAGATGCGAATGTTGAACGCATTTATTTTATTTTCTCCATACAACACTTCATGTTGGCGGTCTTCACAGCATTTCCTTAATTTTTAATCATCTTACATCTTCATTCTATTTTATTTGACTCTTTGTATAATACCGTTTCTGAACGCCCACACTTAAAGAAAATTACCGTATATTCATTGAAATAGTTTAAGAGGCGAACTACATCAGTTTTAACTTTAAGAATGCAAGTATAATCAACAGAATGATCAAATGTTCATGGAAGCGATTAAATGTTAAAGAGCCACATAAACGGCTAAAGCGATCAATATTCTTGCATTCCACCTATAACCACGGTAGAGTACGATGCTAATGTTTAATAGCGCACTAGCTATAGCAGGTTTGACCGGCGGTGATCGAGATTGAGAATCTCTAAATTCGAGTATCCCTAATCCAATCATTCCAAGTCTCGATATCATTTTAAAATCCACATTTAACATACATCTCCCTTTAAATACGTGAATAATCTAATTTTTCATCTCAATTAAACACTTATTTGAATTTGAGTATCTAATTTAAATTCATGATTCAACGTTTCCTCCTAGTTTTGCGATACCATACTTTGTTCCCACAATGAATAAAATTTCAGGGCTGGAAAACATCCCCGCAAGAGAAGCAATGTGGATAAGTGCTCGAACAGCTCCGACGTATTTAATGTACTAGACTTTAAACACACAAACTTTTTGATACAAACACATCATTTTTATAGTTCATAGGTCAAGAATTATAACCTTTCCCATTTTCTTCCTATATTTAACACAGGATTTTGGAAATCATCCGAAACTTTTACTTCTAACCAATCATTGTAATGTCGAGACCATCTTTTCTCCCATTTGTCGATTTAATATCGTAATGCGGGTCAACTTTTCGTTGTGAATTCTCATGTTTAAACACTAAGGAGGATTCACCCTTCTTAGTGAAATGATCTTTGCTAGCATTCTTCTCATGAAATTTACTATCTAATTAATATGATAGTGAAAGTCTGCTTATCTAATTTTCTACCAATGTTTCTTTATAATCCCGGAATTTTAATTTGCATTATTTCTCTGGTCTTTCGTTCGGCCAATAGCTCATAAAAACTTGGTAAAGGTACGAGTATTTCTCATTATGTAATGAATGTTATACTTTGGCTCAAACAAGTTGAAGATACAAATTCCTGCGGTTTTAAGTAGCTAATTTAATCCAAGAATCAAATTATTTGCACTGCAGTGCTGGGTTGCTCGCACTCCTACGCTCACGAATTCTACAACAAGTTCCTGAAGGGGTGTACCGTCGTGGCCGTTCGCTGCCCCTCCTATGAAATGCTCCAAGATGTAGGTACTACGTATAGAAATTGTACTGTTTAGTTATTAACAAACTGCTCCTCCTTGGCTATATTTTAAGGTTTGTGAAGAGTTTCGTTGACCCTCGTAGACTCCCAGAAAAGAGCGTCCTAAGCGAGAGTGCATGTTTCTAGGAAACTGTGACTTATCCTCTTTCGTGCTTCTTCCATCATTTTTCGTTTTTATGACAGCACAACCATATACCTGTGTTTTCGCTCCCTCCCTTCATCATCATGCTACCGCCTACAGAGGGCGCTTTTGCCTCGAACCCGACGGGCTTCTTGTTCCAGAGGGTGAGGGCAGCATCCTCACCATCATGATAACCAGCCCCCTTACTACACTAGTGTCGTAACCCGCCATCATTTTCCTTTTCACACGCACCAAACCCTCCATCCATCATTGCAGACGTAAGGGGTTGTGAATATCAAATGAAAAAATTGCAGTCGGATAAGGGATTCACAAAAATGTTTTTTGATCCACCCTAATCTACAAACTCTTGGACCCGAAATCATATTCATCAACAATTGTACGTAGCAGCAATAAAAACACCTTTCTGACAGAGATCAGGCTGGTAGGCCCATTTGTCACCACAAGTCTTAACCCCAATTATAAAAAATAAAGACAACCAACAGCACACACGAAAAATCAAAAGGTTACTGCTGCTGTTACGTGTTTACGTATTATGATCAAATTCAAATAGAACTACTCTATTGTCAATGGTATGTCAATGTAAGGCCAGCAAGCGTTTGTCCTTCAGTTGTATGCCAGATTCCAGCGAATACAGTTCTCTAAATCTCTATAGTCTCGGCCCTGCCCATCTTCCTCCTTAGCTGAGACTCGCGTTATACGACCATCGAACGTAACAGCTGCAATGAAAATCAAATGACCTGATTGAATAAAACGCTAGACATACAACACCACGGAATTCCTCGATCCGCATTGGTGAACAACCTAACCTAACCTAACACTTAATCTTAACCCGACACAAGTGCTCCCACAAACATGTATGTCATGGTTGTGCCTTAGGCCAGCATTGCCTAACTTCACAATTCATGTCCCATTCCGTGGGTAAGTTTGCTTTATGGCATATGGGACTATGAATCAAACTGTTGCTTATCAAACTGCTTAAACCATAGCGCGTTGGATGTCCACAGCCACCGCTCAAGCATGCTCAAGCTACGCATGGTCATACTAAATCTGGCCAAACCTCTTCTGGCTAGCGTGCCAGCTTGCAACATTTCTCCACCCAAAACAAACCTGAGCGGAGTCAAGCTCATTGAACGGAGTCAAGCTCATTGAACGGAGTCAAGCTCATTGAACGGAGTCAAGCTCATTGAACGGAGTCAAGCTCATTGAACGGAGTCAAGCTCACTGGCTGAAGGAAGTTAGATGGAAGGGGCAAATGAGCTGGTAGAGACAGTAATTGGTTGCTGTAAGGTTGTGAATCGGAGAAGCGTGTATAGGTTAGGCCGGAGTAGGTTAGGCCTGATGCAAAACTACCTGCTTATAAGCGTGCATGCTTAAGTATTGCTGAAAACCAACGGCGCTACTATTTTAACCGGTGTTTTGCAGATCTGTGTTACGGTGTTTCAGTGCATTTTGTGACTTCTAGCTCTGAGGCTGCGTGTAGTTATTGCGTGTTGAGGCGGGGCGTTGACTCCAGGGCTTATTTAATAGTTAAATTTGTGACCCAATGGATAATAAAACCAAATCAGCTCAGCTAGAGATGAAAGTTTACAAGTACAGCAAAGAGATGTCTCTGAGCAAAGTTGTTCAGGCGGTCACCTGTGAACGTTGCGAAGATTAAATTTGTACTAGATGTTTGAAGTTGAGCTCTAAAGAGTATTCATTTCTCCAGAAAACTAATTTACTTCATTGGTTTTGCTGTGACTGTGAAAAACCAACTCTTGGTGCTCGAAAAAGAGAGATGTCGGTGGAAGAGCAAGGCAACGAGTCGAAATCGTTGAATGATGTCGTAAACTCCTTGAGTAAGGAGGTGCGCTCATTGAGCGAAAAATTGAGCTCGCTTTGCAATGAGCTCACTGAAGTGAAAGCTCAGCTAAATAATGCAGAAAAATAGAAGTAAAGAACCAGAGAGCTGATCTATCTGAAGTCGCTAGCGAAAGCTCCAGCGAATTACCTGATATAGGGATTTGTATTAAATCCAACCTTTTGTGGTTTGGTATTCCCAAAAGTACAGTATCCGATACGAAGGTCCGAGTTTATTGCAGACTGTTGTGGCAAGGCCCTCAACACACCGATTGATATTACATCGTGTAAGAAGCTACGCTCGAAGGATGCTGGTGCCAACACCTGCAGACCTCTGTAGATGACTGTAAAAGATCCTGCACCAGGTTTGGAGCGTGTTTAAGGCAGCGAGAAAGACTGGAAAATCCGCCGAGTCCAAGTCCGTTTTTGTAAAGAAGGATTTCACCTCTTTAGAAAGAGTGTTTTTTTGCGAGAAATGGCAGGAGAGAATCAGGGGGAAGGGACGGAAAATCAGGTCAATCACTCTCAAGCTGTCAAGAAAACACCGGCCGCTTATGGTCAGTCAGAGGAACTGGAGGACAAGTAATTGGTACGGGTGATGTCCGTAGAACCAGGCCTGTAAATAATGTAGGAAGTAACCTCATACATCAAAGTGACAGCGCGCGAAAAGTTTGAAATGTCTTTGTACGAACTCGGATTCCGGTTTGAACAAAAAAGTGAACTGTTAAGTGCGATCGCAAACGGGTGTATAGACATTATTTGCATTACAGAAATAATCCCCAAAAATCACGGGGGAAAGTTGTACCTTTTGAAATTCAGTTGCCAGGTTTTGATTGTTTTCATAACTTAAATGAAGAGCAGTGCAGTTGAGGTGTAGCTCTGTGGGCAAGAGCCTCCTATGGGGCCAAGCAAGTTAAGTTATCTGCGGAGCATCAATCAGCTAAGGAATCAGTGTAGTGCGACCTTTCTTTGAAAGGCAAGGATAGCCTCCTCCTAAGGGTCGTTTATAGATCTCCTAACAGTTCCTCTTAACATCCTTTTACCGAGCATGACTTTCAGCAGGTGGCATACGTTGATCCTTGGTGACTTTAACCATCCAGAAAAAGACTGAGCAGATGAATCCTCCAAGAGATGGGAATCACCCAGCATCTCTGTTCTTGGAGTCTGTGCGAGATTCATTTTTAATGCAGACCATAACTAAGCCAACCCATTTCAGAGGTAAACAGACCCTAAAAATTCCAGATCTAGTGTTTAATAGTGAAGAATCAATGTTAGATAAGCTTCGTCACGAGGCTCCGTTGGGCAAAAGCCACCACCAATAATTGTTTTTCAGTATCAATTGCTATGCAGAAAAGACGCTTCGGAAGCGTGAACGTTTGAACTTTGAGAAAGGCGACTATGGTAGGCCACATTCGAACGTTTGAACTTTGAGAAAGGCGACCACATTGAACGTGATGCATTGAATGCGGCGAATATTTCGGACTGTATTAAGGACATGAATGTGGCTGATTCATATTTATTTCTCAGACACAGTTATGTTTGCAGTTGATGCCTGTGCACCTAAGCTTACGCTTGGAGGAGTCAAAAAGTCGCAGTGGAAGAACTGTACTGTTATAGCTCAGCTGAAGACCAAGAAGGAAGCCTACAAGCAAGCGTTATTTCTGAACTCGCAGCGATGCTGATTATAACCTGTATGTAAGAGCTTGAAGTTAAGCTAAAAAATCTGTGAAAAACTTGGAAAAAATATTGCCATACATGCAAAAAAGAACCCGAAAGCCTGCTTTTTGTACGCTGGTTTGAAGTGTAAAACAAACGACAGTATTTTTCATTTGAAAGTAGACAAACGAAAGATATCCTCTGACGAGGGCCAGGCTAACGTTCTTAATTAGTTCTTTAGCAGTGTGTTCACAGGTGAGGAGTGAGGACTTGGACAGTATTCCAGATATTGAGGAGCGCCCAGTCGGCTCGAAATTGACAGGTTTTGATATACACGAAGAGGTTCCCAAGCGCCTTGTTGCTCTAAATCCCAACAAGTCATGTGGACCAGACGGCTTCCACCCTAGATTGCTGAAATAATTAGCACCCGTCCTGGCCGACCCTTTGACAGTGTTATTTCAAAAACCGTAAACGAAGGAACTTTGCCGACCGACTGGAAAGAAGCTCAAGTAACACCGTTGTTCAAGAAAGATGACAAAAGCAGCCCCGGCAACTATCGCCCTGTCAGTCTGACAAGTGTTGTTTGAAAGGTAATGAATTTGTTGTGAGGGATAGGATAATCAATCACTTGACTGTTCACCATATCCTATCAGGCTGTCAACATGGCTTTATTGCCGGTAGATCCTGCACCACTTACCTCTTGTCTACGTTGAACGATTGGACTCGCCCGCTGGACGAAAGGGAGCCAGTGGATGCAGTTGTGTACCTCGATTTTACCATAGCATTTGACAGTGTTCCGCATGAGCGGCTATTGCATGAAGTGAAGTCTTTGGGAATAGAGGGAAACGCACTCCAATGGATCAGAGATTTTCTAGTAGGTAGACGACAACGTGTCAGTATTAACAAAACCATGTCAGACTGGGCATCAGTGCGCAGTTGCGTGCTACAAGTAAGCGTTCTTGGGCCTGTTTTGTTCGTTGCTTTTATAAACGATCTGCCAGACGTAGTGTCAAGCGTGTGCTGCATGTATACCGACGACACAAAAGTTCATGATACAGTGAATGATGCGCCAAATAAAAGTGCAATTGCAAGATGATCTTGACAGTTTGGTTAACTGGGCTGATACGTGACAGCTGAGTTTTAATGCTGACAAGTGTAAAGTACTTCACCTTGGGAAGAACAATAAACAGCAAGATTACAGTATGAGAAGCCACGATTGCAACGAGAGAGTAATGATTGAAAAGTCTAGTGGGGAAAAAGATTTGGTAGTTTATGTCGGCAAGGAGCTGAAATTTTCTAAGCATATTGAAACGCATGCTAATAAATCCAACCAACTTCTTGGACTGATCAGACGCTCTTGCGAGTTCATAGATGCAGAGGCAACGAAGCTGTTGTTTGTTGCTGTCGTGTGCCCGAACTTGGAGTTTGGAATCGCAGAGTGGTCACGGAAACTTGAAAAGGACAAAAATTTAATGGAGAGTGTTCAGAGACGTGCAACAAGGATAAATCCAGGCTTGAAGGGCAATTCCTATGAAGAAAGATTATGAAGCTTTCAAGCCTCTGCTATCGACGTCTGCGTGGGAACCTCCTCGAACTATACAAGTATACTCATGGCTTACACAAGGTCCCAGAAGGATTACTATAAATTGAAACAAGAATCAACCCCACCCAGTCAATCACCAATGTGGGCAACGATGTCGATTAGTGTGGGTTACTCCATATAGCGGAAGATACGACCACACAAAGATTTGAAAGTCGAATTTCCCTAAACAATCCATGCAGATGCATGGCGAGCTATCGACTGTGGGTTTATCGTTGCAGATCGAAGTATATGAGTGTGGGCAACTTTGCAGAGCAAACCGAAAAATTCATGCGCAAACTCGTCGGTTGGCTATTCAATCTAATAGAATAATGAATCGGAAATTTATATACATTTTAAGTTATGGTTAACCAGTTGAATTGTGTTCAATCTAGTTCAAGTGATAGAATGATCTATTTCGGGTCCATTTCTGATGTCAGTTACGATTATAATACCACGTAATTATTTTAATGCTCTGAAATACGTAAGTGTTTTATTAGTTTTCCCAGTTTGAACGTTTCCGCAAACTGGAACATTTAAGCCTTAATGCTACCTTACCTTTATAATGTTCAGGAGATATCGATTAGTTTGCCTGAAAATTTTTTTCCTAACGACACTGCAAAGAATACGTTTTTCACATGCATCTTGTTAAATGATATAAATTTCCTGCTATCGAATAAAGTTGTAAGAAGAAACTGCTTCAAAATTTAGCAATATTTTCATTTAAAAAGATCCCATCATTACTTCTTCATATTCAAAACATTTTTATACAGCTGCTTTATCGTGTTCCATTAATCATGACAAATTTGCCTCAATTTTCGGAAATAAATTGCGATGTAAATTGATCAGCTCTATTATAAAATTATATAAACTAGAGAACTAACTTGTAAATAAATTGAGGAAATGTGGAAGTAACGGCATTTCGCTTGCTCGGAAATCATAAAAAGTGGCAAGAGAAATAGTGCTTGTCTGTTTCCTTTATTGAACGATATTGATCACGAAAATTTTTACCCAATCCAATACGAGTAAATTTTTTTTTTAATAAAAAATGCGTTCATACCTCTAAAATAAAAATGACTGAATAATCTTTAAACAGTTCCACCACAAATGTGGCTATTCCTCGATTTGCCTGACGATTGCAAGCCATTCGTTTTGCAGTTACAGTGTGTAGTTGATAGAGTTACAGTGCAGTTACAGTGTGTAGTTGATAAACTAAAAAACTGCGTTGCAACTCATCCACGCGACAACATTTCTTCTCGCTTCGAATCACCGACATGTGGAACACGCTACTCAAATTGCAATCCGTGTTTTTACCCAATTATATAATTTATAGAAAGTGCAAATGCCGAGAAAGAAACATCTCTACATACAGACACCGCACTTTTTTGTATCATACAAGCCCACAAAACAGGAAGATGCAAAAAACATTGGCGAGGTTACGCGGTGTTCTATTAACTTTGCTGTGTGTAATTTAATTCATTATTTACATCGTATACAATTATGTAGTACTAGTGCTACATTTCAGGGTACATGCCGGTGCTGCCAACCTCCCTACGAGTGCGTGGAATTTGGAATAAATTCTGTGGTCCCTGATAACCTTTCAGGCCGCGCTATCTACTATGTGGACGAAAGTTCCGTTGATAGTAGTAAGTTTGTGCACGTCATTTATCTGCTTGAGAAGGATTCTCTGCTTGACTGTATTCGAGCATGATAATAATTTCTGCGTGTGAACAATTCTCATTCCATTGTATAGGATTCTTGCGTAATATTCATTTCTACCAACGAACGATGCTCGCTCGACTGTAGGAAGATCTTGCAAGTTATGCATTTCTGCTTACGAACGACTCACTCGACTGTAGTTTTTGCATGCATGGAATTAATTTACGCTTACGAAGCGATTCGTAAACTGGCTGAAGCGAGGTATTGCATAGTATTCATTTCTACTAGCATCTACAAATCACCACGTGTCTGTAGTGACGTCTTGCATGATTTTTATTTCTGTTTCTACACGACAAATTCTTCCACTTAATTGGCTGCGGTAAATTCATTCGAAGTAATAATTTCTATTTACGCACATTACTTTTGAGAGATTTTGACTGAAAGATATTTAAAGTTCTACTATTTAAAGATTCTCGATTTGACTGAAGTAAACTCCGGCAAATTCATTATTCAAACAATTCTCCACTTAACTTTAGTGAGTTCTAGCTCAGTTTTCACATACTATGCTTGTGAACGATTCTCTGCTTGATTGCAATTATCTTTTTCATGGTTTTCAATTGTCGTCGTTACATTGATTTTCGCTAACGAACGAACAATCGCTTCTCTACTTGGCTATAGTGAATGAAGCGTTGCTTTGTATTAGTTTCTACAAACGAATGATCCTTGAATTGAATGTACTAATATTTTGATTAATATTCATTTCTACTCGCATACGCTTTTTTACTGTACTACTTTTATGGAATTAATTTTGTTCTAACGAAAAAGATTTCCATCCCGGCATTATCATGTTCTTTATATATTTGCATGGTGCATTTCTCTGTCCATTTTTATGAGAACAAGCATGCAATTAGATCGCGAGCACGTTTCCTCACAATCATCGATTAACCTTACATAGATAACTTTCCATGCTGCTTTATGCTGCGTCAACATTAATAAACTCAACGGTTTATTTAATTCGTTTATATATTAAGTATTGTTCTTGCTACATTAAGACTAAATATGAAAATTAATTGAGCCCCGTTATGAGTAAATATTTTGTTGTCACTTTTCCAGAACACGTGTACGACGTTAACATCACCATGAGCAACACTGGATATGAATTTAAATTGGACCACCTTATCATCAAAGGCACTATCGGCAAAGATGGCCCCAATTACCTCAAGTCAGTAGCTCCACCTTTCACAAAAGCTATGAGATAAAAAGCGATAATGTGATATAAATGAAAATCACCCATTGTCTTATAATCTAAGTGACAACGCGGAATTTGCTATTTAAATGTTGTAAACAATACTGATTAATCGTTTATTTAAGGGTATGGATATCGTATTGAAACTTCTAAGATATCCAGTTTGTACAAACGTATTGAGTACATATATAATTCCGTCTCTACACGGTGCACTTATCTGATGCATCGGTAATAATAAATTTCGACCCAAGTATAATAAATCTGGTTCCTGGTTGATTTGCCTTGCTACGGCAAAAAGCCATACCAAGTACTGTCATGAACAGTAATATTGTAATATATAACATTGAATTTGTAATATTTGATTCCTGCTGGTCTAAATTTATTTTGGATTACGAAATATGAATAAATAATATAATTAGCACTCAAACATGAAACACAAATATTTTCAAGCAGCCCTCTGTCATGAAAACAATGAAAAAAATCGTCTGGTGTGTGGAGTTGCAAAAATGTTTTATAGATCGCAATCTTCTTTATAAAATGAACCACTTTTTATTGGCATTTCTTTGTTAAGCGTTATCATTTCACACATGATTTCCAGGATAATTTTGTTAAACATGTGAATAAATGGATATATTTATGAATGGAATAAATGGATATAAACATGTGAATAATGGATACCATAGCAAATCACAGGTAATATAATTAAACAGTGAAAAGTAGAGTGATAGACCTTCAGTTTTGAGTGAGAACACGAACACTGGGTGTGAAGTACATGTGGTAAGAATTTGAAGTGCAGGCTGAATGTGGCAAGAATGAGTGTATTGATGTCACTTGTTTGCTTGAATCGCAAATGAACTAGAAATTTAAAAGCAGAGAAAATCCCACAGAAGTTCATTCTTCTTTCTTTGTAGAGAATGATTCAGACTCCAGTTCCATCGGCAGTTCGAAGATTCTAGAATGCAAATAAAATCACAAGTTAGTACAATTGAAAGTCACGGAACTGAAATTAAAATTTACGTATGAGAGACAAAGCACAAAAATCTATAAACAATCTCAAGGGGATAGAAGCTAAAAGCTGAATTCAAACTAGGCCTCACTGTAAAAATGTGCAAGGATTCTTGCATACGGAGATCTCAAGTACCAGAAATGGAAGCTAACAGCTTTAAGTCCCTGTCAGAGACAGGAACATTACACTGCTCCGGGTGAGTGCGCACAGCCGAATAAAGTGGGCGCGATAGCAACTGTCGAGTCTTAAAACTCCTGCCCTTGTGCTCTGCGACCCGGCCTAGAATAAGGATTGCGTGACGTCATCCCGGCGTACGCAGATGCACATCGTGCACAACAATATTGATATAAACTAGGGCCGATACCATACGAACAAGGAGCATATCTTTGTATCTAAAGAAACAACCGATTTTGATGGCAAGAAGGGGTTGTTCAATAGTGGCTATTGAACACTATTAAACACTATTGAACACTATTTGACACTATTTGAAAGTGTTCAATAATGTTAAATAGTGTTCAATAGTGAGCCAACCAACACAACGCTAAGATTGACATTTAGGAAGTATTGCATGAACAAGATTTTCAATTCTCTTGACATAGTTTCGAACGCAGTGTCGAAGTATGGAAAAGAACATTAAAAAACATACCTGCTACCGCACTCTGGAACAACCTCACTGTATCGCTTCGACATGAATTTCTTGATTCGAGTAAACACCAGACTGCCGGAAATCCGTTAAGCTAAAAAATTTAAATTCAGAATATAATGCACAAAAATTCAATTCAGCGTACATTGTATGATACGTAGAACATATACGAAGACCTCGGCATAATAATGTTTGAAGCCCAATCGCTTTGAATCGAAATGAACAAAAGCTAAAGAAGCTGGTACTTAGGCCGGTGAATGTCGTCTATCGGAACACAGGAGTTACAAAACATAACATAGTAATGTCGGCGCTGAAGAGTAGGCCTGATATGAACTGACGGTAGTTTGAAATTGCTACTAGACTTCCACCGGTTTCGATATGGTGCTAAGCATTTCAAATCTGTACATATATTTTTCCATAGCATTATCTAGTCTGTTCTTGAACGCGTTTATACTCGGAGCGTCAACGATGTTATCGCGGAGGCTGTTCCACATGTCGGTAATTCAAAGCGAGAAGAAATGTTGTCGTGTGGATGTAACGAATTTTTTTTAATTTATAGCCGTGGCCCCTGATGTTGGTTCTTGTTTCTAATTCTAGTAACACTTCTGGGACCTTGTATAAATCATGAGAATACTTGTATACTTCAATGAGGTCCCCAAGCAGACATCGATAACAGAGGCTTGGATGCTTCATAATCTTTCTTCATAAGACTTTCCCTTCAAGCCTGGAATTTTCCTTGTTGCCCGTCTTTGAACACTCTCCACTAAAATTTTGTCCTTTTCAAGTCTCGGTGAGCACTCGGCGTTTCCAAACTCTAGGTTCGGGCGCACGACAGCAACAAACAACTGCTTTATCGTTTCTGCATCTAGGAACTCGTAGGAGCGTCTGATCAGTCCATGAAGTTTGTTGGATTTATTAGCTTGCGTTTCAACATTCTTAGAAAATTTTAGCACCTTATCGACATAAACTCCCAAATATTTTTCCACGCCAGACTTTTCAATCATTACTCTCTCTTTGCAACCATGTCTTCTCATACTGTAATTTTGCTGTATTATAAACTTTTGTGTCGTCGGCATACATGGAGCACACGCTGGAGACTGCTTCAGGCAAATCGTTTATGAAAGCAAAGACCAAAACAGGCCCATGAACGCTTCCTTGTGGCAGGCCACTGCGCTTTGCTGCCTAGTCTGACATGGTTCCGTTAATACTGACACGCTGTTATCTACCTACTAGAAAATCTGTGATCCATTGCAGTACCTTTCCCTCTACTCCTAAAAATGTCACTTTACGCTACAGTCGCTCGTGCGGAACATTATCAAATTCTTTGGCAACATCTAGGTACACTGCATCAACTGGCTCCCAGTCGCCCAGCAGGCGAGGCCAATCGTTCAACGTAGACAATAGGTTAACGGTGCAGGGTTTGCCGGCAACAAAGCCATGTTGGCAGTCTGATAGCAGATAGGAGATGGTGAACAGTCAAGTGATCGATAATCCTATCCCTCACTACAGATTCCATTCCCTTACAAACAACACTTGTCTGACTGACAGGGCGATAGTTACTGAGGCTACATTTTTCACATTTTTTGAACAATGGTGTTACTCGAGCTTCTTTTCAATTAGTCGGCAAAGTTCCTTCGTTCAAGGTTTTTTGAAAGAATATATACAGTCAATGGGCCGGTCAGTACGGTTGCCAATTCTTTGAACAATCTAGGGTGGAAGCCGTCTGGTCCACACGACTTGTTGGGACTTAGACCAACCAAGCGCTTGAGAATTTCTTCTTCGAGTGTTTCAAAACCTGCTAACTTCGAGCTAACTGGGTGCTCCTCAACATCTGGAATACTGTTCAAATCCTCATCTGTGAACACACTGCTAAAGAACTGATTATGAACTTTAGCCTTGCCCTCATCAGAGGATATCTTTCATTGTTCTATTTTCAAATCAGAAATACCGTCGTTTGTTTTTCTCTTCGAATTAGCGTAGAAAAAGAAGCCTTCCGGTTATTCATGCATTTTTGGTAATCTGTTTTCGAAGTTTTTCACTGCGATGCGACAGATTAATTTAGCTTGATTGCTTGATTCCGAGCTCTTGCATGCAGGTTATAATCAGCATCACTGCGAGTTCGTAAATAATGCTTGTATGCTTCTTTCTTCGTCTATAACTGTACTGTTCATTCACTGGGACTTTTTGACTCCAAACGTAGTCTTCGGACAGGCATCAACTGCAGACTTAACCGTGTCTTTGAGATGTGACCATGAATCAGCCACATTTATGACCTTAATACATTCCGAAAAATTCACTGCATTCAATGCATCACAGAGTCTAACATAGTCGCCTTTCGATAAGTTCAAACATTCAGGCTTCCGAAGCGTCTTTTCTGCACAACACTTAATACTGAAAAACAATGATTGGTGGTTGCTTTTGCCCAACGGAGCCACTTGGCGAAGCCTATCTAACATTGTTTCTTCACAAGTAAACACTAGATCTAGAATATTTGGGGTCTGTTTGCCCCTAAAATGGGTTGGCATTGTGATTTTCTGAATTAAAAATGAGTCTTTCACATACTCCAAGAACAGGGATGCTGGGTGATTCTTATCTCTTGGAGAGGATTCATCTGCCCAGTCTATTTCAAGATAATTAAAGTCATCAACGATCAACGTATGCCCCCTGCTGAAAGTTATGCTCGGTGAAAGACTGTTTAGTTCTTTATCATTATCAGAGGAACTGTTGGTGATCTATAAAGGACCCCTACGAAGAGGCAATCCTTGCCTTTCAGAGAAAGTTCGCACCACACTGATTCTCTAGCTGATTGGTGCTCTGCAGATAACTTAACTTGCTGGGCCCTAGAAGAGGTTCTAACCCACAAAGCTACACCTCTACTGCACTGCTCGCCATCTAAGTTATGAAAACAATCAAAACCTGTCAACTGAAATTCAACAGGTAAAATTTTCCCTCCGTGATTTTTAGGGTGTGTTTCTGTAATTCAGTATAAGTTTCAGGTGAAAAGGAATGAAGAATCGCTAAGTTTAAGCAAGAAGTGATTGATTTTGTCGTCGATTTCAAAATAGTTTTAGAGATTTGATTTGTAATTTCAACAAAGTTTGAACGATCGGTTATGAATGCATTCAATACAATAGTTTGGCCAAACATTAGTTCTTCTATTGTAATGTTGTCAAATCTAATTACAGTTTTCAGACTTCTGTGATCCGAAAGCCGATATTCACCGGCCTAAGTACCAGATCTAGTAGCTTTTCATTCCGATTAAAGTTAAATGGGCTTCAAACATTATTACACAGAGGCTTCCGTATATGTTTAACATACCGTGCTATG